TCCTTCCTTCCTTCCTTCCTTCCTTCCTTCCTTCCTTCCTTCCTTCTATATTATTAATAATTGCATTGTCATTGTCAACCAAAATATGATATACTTCAGGTCTGTGGTTATCTACAGCCAACACTTATTAATATTTATGCTTATTAAAATTGACCCAATCAAAGTATCTGAAATGAAGAAGTCAGTGCTGAAGAACAGAAGTTAAAAATATCTTAGTAAGAAAAAGATGTCAAAACAATTATTGTGTGATCCTCGTGGTTCTCATCTGCCTGCACTTTTCTCAAGTTCTGCTGAGAGAGAGAGAGAGAGAGAGAGATAGAGAGAGAGAGAGAGAGAGAGAGAGACTCATGTTTTCAGTAAGCAGATTAATGTACCTCTATGAGTAGGATGCTTCCCCACCCACCCACCCCCAATCTTATATCAGCCAATTTTCTGTCTTAGCATTAGGCATCCCATGGTAGCAGGAACCTATTTTGTCTAATTTGATTGTAGATTGCCATTATTAGGCAAAGAGGACAAAGTTGGGTACAAAGAAGTATTGTCCCATAGAGAACACTATTATCAGAAAGCTAAATGTGAGTATTATACAGAAATCTTTTGTTTGTTATGTGTAGGAGAGCTTATGAAAAACCTTGCCTTGAATTGTTAAAGCAGCCATGTCTTTTTTCCAGATTTGTGGACCTTCCAGCTAATATTTATTCATTCATAGAGACTTGTTTGTTTAGGATTTGCATAGCTCTAGTGGCTGTGAAAAAATAATTAATTTTTTTGGTGTTGAGTTCTCAGTAAATTAATTACCTTTTCAGAGCTGGTGGTTGAATTCTCTTATAAATTGCAAATTTGGATTCCAGATCACCCATTACTTAGAATCATCTCCTCAAATTACATGACCTTGCTTTGACCCCATTTTTTTTCATCTGAATTCTTAATTTCTGTTAATGGAGGTTTTAGTGGCTTTAATAAACATGAATCATATTTGGCTATAAACAAGATAGGCAAAGCCTGGTTCCATTGCCGGTGTAGATGAAGGGGTACCATATGGTGCAGCAAGATACCACATACTCGTTGAGTAGTGAGTTTTCCAGTTCACTAGGTTTAAAGACTTTCTAGCCAGTTCTCTAATATTCATTCCTGTAATTTATAACAAAGTGGTAATTCTATTACGGTCAATTACTCTTCAGGGTCCAATTTCCATTTTTATAGTTTGGTTATGTGAAGATTCACAACACTTTAATTTCTTCAGCATAATAAAAGAATGTAAATCTATGAAATAGATGATTTGCATAGTTGTGAGTCCATCTATTCTGCTTCTGAGGGTGTATGGTTTTGAATAAAGATACCACTGTTGGGCCGTGGTCGGTGGATTCTATGGAGATATACTAAATCACACCAAGACTTAGATGTAACATCTTCCATTTTAAAAGTGTACAACTGTATATTTTAAATTTTAATCAGTTTAATTCCAGTGACAGATTTATTCTTAGTTTTTCTGAGTTATATTACAAATCCAGCAAAAATACTTTGTAATTTGTAGAGAGTCTGGAAGGATTTTGATATAATTTGATCTAACTTATACTCATTGTGCAATAGCTTTCATACTTCTGGAAGGGTGACTTTTATCCTTATAGCTTGATAAAATTCTTGTTTTTTAAAAAATATTTTAGTTTAGAAATCTGTATTCAGGGAGGTAATCTGCTTTAAAATATGTACTTAAATAATACTTAAATAAAGTAGGTTTGGATTCTAAAAATAGATATTCACAAATCAGAGCTGAGACATGATGGGAAAGGATTTTATTCCCTTTTACTATGCAAATACATAGAATCTTTACTATAGGGCATGCATGCTTAGTTATGAATCATTTTTGTTTGTATCCAAAAATGCACTACCAGGATTGATCTGAGCCATTAGAAGAATGGCTGTATTTTTTCCTCTAAAATTTTAATATTCATAAAATTGACAGAACATAATAATGGTCTACACACACACACGCCAAAGGCAGCTTACTGAATGCCCCCCCTCCATAAAGAGCCCTTTACCCAGAGAAAGAAAGAGGGAGAGGAAGCCCCATCCAAAGTATGGTGGCATTTGGAATTATGATATGGACCACGTGGGCATTGCAATAATGGGTCCTATGAACCCATGCTATTGAAAACCAAAAAAGAAAATGAAAACATTGGCTTATTAAAGCTCTAATCATATAGATGCTCAGCTGAGCTTGAACTCTGACCTCAGAAAGACAAATATAAGGAATAAGTGCCATAGTAAATGGATATAGCAAGTCCAAATTATAACTTATTTAAAAATCACATTGTAGTGTTCAACCTTAAGGTTAGTGGCCCATGCATCATAAACATCAGAACTTCCCATGTGGACAGAAGCACAACTTTTTATCCTGCAAAAGTTGATAAAGGGCTCTCCTTCCTACTGTTACTGTTATTGTTAGCATTAGTATTAGTATTACCATAATATTAGTATGTGGTTATCCAGTAGCAAATCCTCAGAATGCAAACTTGTTCCTTAAGGGAGAGTACAACCCCCATTCAGTAAATGTACATCACCTGAGCCTCAGAGCCCAACCCCAGGAATCAGCAACAACTCTGCCTTGTCCAAATTTCATTTCAGATCATTTTCTCACATCTGGTCCTTTACAAAAAGGAGGCTTATGCAGAGGATCTCAAAACATTCAAGAAGAGAAATGTACAAGTGATTTTCATCAGTACATAGAATGCAGTTAAAACGAAACCTTCCTCCTACTCATGCTTCATGTTCATGTAACATGGAAGAGAGAATACAAACTTTGAGACCCCTGAGATAATCCCAAAGAGACCAAACTTAAGTTTCTTTGTATCATCTTCTGTTAGGGCACAAACACATAAAAATGGAATAACTTAAAAGTCTTTAAAGAAGGATTCAGAGAAACCAGAACAGTTCAGAGTAGAGCAATAAGAATGATCAGGGGACTTGAAAGCTTATTTATTGAACATTGGATAAGATTAAATATATATATATATATTTCACTGACAAAAGCCGGGGGGGGGAGCAAGAACAACATATTTATCTAATGGAAAGAGCATAATTTCCAGAAGCCACATGAATCAATACCATATTTTGATTTAATAGCACAGACAGTCCAAAATGTACTGAAATGGTGGATATACACAACCAAAAAAAAAAAAAAAAAAAAAGGATAAGCTAAATAGCTTGATGTAGGAATCTCTCTTTCTCTGTGTTTAAATAATCAAGAATTGCAGTAATGCAACACTGATAAAGTTATTGGGAAAAAATGTTGGTTGGTGTGGAGTATATCATTCATGGGATCAAAGTTTTAAAGCCATAGTACTAAAGTCTGAAGTTGATAATTAATGTTCTTTCAGCAGAGAATGTAGTTGCAGTTGAGATATGTAATAAGACTGAATGAAAATGGAAAGGCTAAATGTATTAACCTCACAATTAATGTTAAAATTAATTTCTCAGATTAATGTCTCCATTTTTCTTTTTCTTTTTTCTCAGTTACAAAAGATTAAGATGTAACTCTTGAGCTCATTCCCTTCAGTGAAATTCCTGTTGAATAACACTGCTGGGAACTTCTTCTGATCAAGCCAAAGCAAAGTAAATGGAAGATAAGCAAGATCTCTTAGGAAGCATAGCATATTCATATCTGAAATAATTGCCAAAAATATCTGTTTTCCAACATTGTGTCCTTTCCTATAAGATAATGTGCTATCTTACTGTATTATATCTTTTTTTTAAAAAAAAATAGCATTGCTGTTATAGTGCTTCAGATATTTTGAGTAGCATATTTATTTCTAATTATTTCTTAGGTTCAGGTTTTATATTCTTGTCTCGAAACTAAAAAGTACATAAAAAACATAAAAAATAATAAAGTAAGGCTACTGTGAACTTCGAATGATAAGGGGGGAAGAGCTTACAAATTCAAATCCTAGATAGCCAATGGTAATGTTGCCATTAATTCTATATTCTACTTTTTTGCTTTATTGTAGAAGCTACAATATGAGAAGTTAAAAACGTCTCGCAAAAATGGTGGTTGCATTATACAATAGGTCTACCAGATGTAGGCTGCACAAATCTGGATAACTAAAAGATAGAGATTTTAGTATCTCTTCACTAAAGTCATTTGGATTTTTGCAATTTTGCTGTAGAAGCACTATTATAAAGACATTTGAGTGTGTGCTCATACTTAATAATAGATGGTTATTGGAAGGTAGTTTAAATATTCTTCACAGATATACAGTGTTGTTCTTTGATTTCTGGTGTTCACCAAGAAAAATTTTCTGTAGAATGATTCTACCAAAGAATGGAAGTTTAGATAAGTAAACAATGTAGATACTGTATAAATACCCATCCTTCCTGCCATTTTATTTGATAGCAACAATTTTGTCAGTTCAATTGGGCTGAGATAGAGCAACTGAACTGAAGTTACCCAGTGAACAATGAACAAGGTGTCTGACTACAAAGGTAGACTTTATCCAGGCAATTCTCTCCCCAACCTGGTATCCACTGCTGTAATTGAGTTCATTCATCACACTGCTATCTGTCCTCTTTTTCTTGTTTTTTCCATCTTTTTTAGCAATGTGAATTTTGAAATAATCTAGGTCTTTACATAATGTGTTAAAAATATGCTGATTTAAGGCAGATCATTTGTGCCTATGGTGAGAACTCAGAATTAAGTTGTTTTCTTGGTTATTCATAATGTTTTTAAGAGTCTTCTCCAGGATCAAAGTATCTTAATCCCATCTTATCCACTACAGTACCTTCACTCTGCTGTAAAATGATTGCTGCACTTTTCGATCAGTGGAGATATTTTTACTAACTGCTCTCGTTCTGGGTGAATTTCCTGTTAAAGTCAGGCTGGCTTTCTCTATGATAAAAAGTCAAGGCATAAGCACATAGGGTTTCCAGGTTTCATTTGTTCAATCATTTTATCTTTGTTTATTTCAGTGCAACAGCTCCCAACAATAACAACACAGCCAGCAGATCAGGTTGCTTTCCCTTTTGATGATGAATTTTCAATCAAGTGTGAAGCTAAAGGAAACCCCCAACCAATGTAAGTGTTACTGAGTTTGGGACAGTCTGCACATTTATTTCTCATTTAGTGCTTTTTTTAACCTTTATTTTTCACCTTTTTCCTTTAAAAAAAGTTTATCTCTCTCCCTCCCTCTTGTAATTATTTATATATATTTATATACAGCCTTTATTTTTATAAATAAAGCAGTGAACATACCTAATACTCCTTCTTCTTCCTAAGACATACCTCTACAACAAAAAACCTGTGGGATAACTTAGACTTAGACTGGCCCACCTACCAAGTTTTCATGCCTAAAATGGAAATAGAACTCATGGTCTCCCAGTTTCTAGCCTGGTGCCTTAACCATTAGACCAATCAACTACCCTGTATTATTGGATGGCCAAAAGTACCACTCACAAATAAAATATAAAATCAGCCTAAAAGGATTTGCACAGTGTCTTAATTTTATTATCTGTGCTTATCAGCTTAGGATTTACTTTAGGATTGAAGTATGTAACAGCATGGCATGCTAATGTAGAATTCGAGTTGTACTAACCACTTCCTGTTTGTAATTTTAAGTTGGAAACAATCAGATTGTAATTAAATTCCTGTAATCCAAACATTTTTCAGTTTTTATAATAGAACATTCTTTCCACATATACCTCAAAGTGCAGAAGCAACATAAATTTGGGAAAGGGAAAAACAGTGAGAATCCTATTGGGTCCCATTTAGACCATTCATTATGTTCCCCATTCATTCAGGACACTTTTATCAAAACAAGAAGGAACTTGGCCTGTCATGAAGTACAAGTCATTACAGGGTGAAGTCATGAAACACAGATCATTACAGGGGAAGGAACAGACTGTTTGAAAAACAGGGAACTTAGACAAGGATGAGAATACCTAGATTCTTTGTTCTTTTAGCCTACCATCTGTATAGCTTCAAAGACAGCCAATATATTTTATTTGAAAAAGAACTGATGGATAATGCAAGACATTATTTATATTACGCATCCAGCAAATTATGTGGAATATGCAACATCTAGAAGGAGATATTTTTGCTTTTTGCATGACTTTGCTTGCATATCCAGTCCATACATAAATAAAAGCATGTTTATTTTGATATGTACATTTTATTAAAACCATGAAAGGATTATATATTTTGAATGTATTACATTTTCTAGGCTACTGAATGCAGACTCTTTGGCGATCCAGATCTGATTTAAGGAAGACTCAAACTGGCAAGATTTAAGATCAAACCTTTCTTAGGCAGCACTTTATCAACTAAAGAAAATTAAATTACTTTAATTACAGTAATCCAAAAGTATGCAAACTAAACTCTATAAACTAGATGCTATAGAGCACTGCACACCAGAAAAACTAGACACAAGAACAGTTTTTCCCGAAAGCCATCACTCTGTTAAACAAATAATTCCCTCAACACTGTTCAGCTGTTTACAAAGTGTACACTATTATTACTGTTAATCTTCTCACCATCCCTTCTCACCCATCCTCTCCCACTTGACTGTTTCCAAGTATGATTTTATTGTTGATTGCACCCTATGACTATCATTAAGTGTTGTACGTTATGATTCTTGATTCTTAACGAATGTACCTTTTCTTTATGTATACTGAGAGTATTTACACCAAGACAAAATCCTTGTGTGTCCAATCACACTTGGATAATATAGTATTCTATTCTATTCTATTCTATTCTATTCTATTCTATTCTATTCTATTCTATGGGAAAGGAAGGAGAACTAAAATAGCAAAAAAGAACCAATAAAAAAGATAAAGGATGAATAAGATAAAGAAAACAGAAATATATAAAGAAGTTACTTCCAATCTTCATCATAAGTAAAAGCAAGTTTGATAGTTTTTCACTCCGTATAACGTACAGATAAGGTATACCCTCTATACAAAGATATATCTCTTTTTCCCATAACCCATTTCTTATCTATAAGCTAGTCCATAAAACATTAACTTTTCAATCCTGGTGTCAGCAAAAAGACTGCAAAGGCTTGCCTGCATTTTATAAAAACATATTTTAATCCTGATCAGATTATCCTTCTTACATGTCTTCCTTTTACTTCTGAAAACCTTAACTTTAATTCATTTAAACATTGAATTGGGATTTGATCTCTCTTCAGTCTGTTTTATCATCTATTGTCTTGGTTTATTTTCTGTTTATTTTTTAAAATTTCAGTCCGTTTCCTATGAGTTCTTATCCATGTTATGCTCTTGGCCTGAAACATGAATTTCTAATTTAAATGCCTTTTCTGCCTTACAATTTTTTAAAAAATCTAATATATCAAACAAGGTTTGCTTCACATAGACCATTCTTTCTGGGAACTATGAAAAAAAATTAAGGGGTACATTGATTTGTCCATTATCTTCAATCATCCTTTTTTTTCAAAATAATGTAATATTTGCAAAGTTAGACAATTTTTGAACATCATTGGTGTTTTTTTTTCAAAAATAAAGATTTGCAAGCCTATGTAAAGAATTTCTGCAATTCCCAGATAATTTGGATTGGGGAAGAAGAGGAGGGAAGAGGAAGATGTCTTTGTACCAATATATATATAAAATTTCAAAAGAGAAGAGAAGAGCTGAGATAGATTAGGTGAAACCTGGCTCAAAAACAGTAATTCTGAGAGGGACTTTGGAGTCCTAACTGATGTTCACTTATTTATTTTATTTATTTATTTTATTTTTATTTTATTTTATTTTATTTATTTATTTATTTATTTATTTATTTATTTATTTATTTATTT